AGGCCCTGCCCTGCACCAAGCATGCCTGTGAGGGGGATGGCACTTCCCAAACCAAGACAGGAGCCAAAGCTCACATGTCCCCAAATTTTGTGACACAGTAGTCCTCCACGCACACCAAAATAGGATATATAAATGAGGGGAATGCACCTAAATTTATTTATTTATTATTTATCTATACCGCCCTATACCCAAAATCAGTGGAAAGGATGTCCAAATCAGCATCACATCAGGAGAAAAGGCTCGGGGTAAATGGCACCCGTTAGAAGAGCCACACATGGAAATGGGTGGAATTCTCCTCACAGACTGTGTTGATTTATTCATCAAGTCGGTGTCCCAGGGTGACAAATGGCAAGCGATAAAGGGGAGATCTGGACCTGCGATTGGGGAAACGAGAAGCTGAGATGACCTGGCACTGACAGCCTGGCGCTGGTTGACCTGCTGTATTTGCAGGCACCCAGACCCATTGGGGATTAAGGGGGCAGAGATGCAATTGACCCCCGTCAAAAAAAAACAACCCCATGGAGTCCAAATCCTGCCTGCCTCTCTCCCTTGGCCAAATCTGAATTGCCACGTTCAGCGCTCCTTGAACACACCTCTGCCAAAAGAGAGAGAGAGAGAGTGCTGTATGTCCTGGCAGAAAAATGTGACTCGCACTTCAGGCACTTGGAACTGCCAGCATTCCCATCAGGACCCATCCTGCGCGCGCACACACACACACACACACACACACACACACAGAGTCCCCACCAGTGGTGACTGTCGCTTTGCCCTGCGCCAAGAGTCGCTTCTCCACTATTTTGCATGCGGCAATCTGATCCACAGCCAACACGTCCAAGGCAGAATTGCCAGTGTTTTCACCAGCCCTCGCTCCTGCGCTACAGGAGCTCCATCTGCAGATGATTATTTATGTTTATTCTTGTTTATTTATTGTATTCATATGACACCTTTTTTCTACAGGGAGCTCCAAGTGGCATATGTGGGTCTCCCCCTCCTCGTTTAATCCCCACAACAGCCCTGTGAGGTAGGTTAGGCTGGGAGGCAGTGACTGCCCCCCCCCCCCAAGTCACACCCAGTGAGCTTCACGGCCGAGTGGGAATTCAAACCCTGGACTCTTAACCACTGCACCACACTGCCACCACACATTTCATTTCCCAGTTGTAGACCTTCTTGGGGAGGGGGCTGGGGGAGAAATTTGATTCCGTTCACATGCAAATGCAAAACTTACCTGATTTGAGTCTCCAAAGCATTCCACAAACCGAAATGCATTCCCTCCTTTGAAATTTGCATCGCTCCGAATTTTGCAATGCCGTTCTCCATGAAAGAAATTTGTACAACAACGCATTGCACTGGGGTGAAATGTGCAAAAAAATTTGCATGTCTTAGTGAAACTAACAGATAAAAAAAATGTGTTAAAGGAAAGTTGCTTTGCAAAAAATGTGTGCATTAGGTAAAGCTGTATACATAAATGTAGAATCATAGAACTGTAGAACTGAAAGGGACACCAGCGCCATCTAGTCTGCCCCGCTGCAGTGAGTTTATTAGAAGAAATTTGCACTAAAATGCTCGTGAATTTTCACAATGTCTTTTTTAAAAAAAATTGCACCATGATGTGGAAATGGGAAGAACTGAACTGAGTGAGGTTCAGCTGAGAGGCCGCGACTGTCCCCCAAACTCACCCAGTGAGCATCATGGCCAAGTGGAGATTCAAACCCCAGTCTCTCCCAGGTCCTAGCTCGACACTCTAACCACTGCACCACACTGCCTTTTCTCACATTTCAGCTATGGCTTTAAGTCATTGAATCCAAGAGGGCTTTATGGGGCTGAGATTAAACCAGCAAAAGGTCTGAGGATCTCAATGTCAGATGTTGCCATTTCGCCTTAACGCTGTCTCTGCGGTGCGTGCCGCTAACTTGGTTGCCATCCGCCCGTCCCTCAGGGATGGGCCAGCCTCTTAAGGTTGAGCAAATTAAATTAAAACTAACAGTCTGTAACCGAGTAGATGGTTCTCCCGGAGCCAAGAGCGCGAGGAGAAGGATCTGTGCATCTTTGGATTAAACACCACCAAGAACAGAATGTTCCTTGCAATTCTGAGCCTTTTCAGAAAACGCAGCGGTCGGATACATTTTGGGATCCATTCAAGAGAAGCGGCTGCTCGGGATTGTCTGAAATCACCCTAGTTACCCTGGAGGGGGGCGCAGAAGGAATGTCAAAATAGAGGGCCTGGCAGTCAACACTGGACTTGCATCATCAGAGATGATAGATCAGCCCAGCTATGGAGATGAACCAGGGGGGTGAGCCAGGGACGATCCATAAAGGAAAAGGGTTTAATTTATTTGTTAAGATTTTTAGACCGCTTTCTGCCCAGGGTCCCCAAGCTATTTCTGACATGCGAAAATCCAGCCATTAAAACCAGATACTTTTGAAAATCAAGCCATACAACAGAAATGATACAGGTTAAAGTATCTCTTCCAAGTGCCTCTGGGAATAGATAGGTCTTAACTAGATGACAGATAGGAAAGTAAAAATGTTGGAATAGTAATAATAATAATAATAATAGATCTATTAATCCCCAAAAAAGTGCAAACATAACAAAGAGAAAGGTAACAAAGAATCAGAAATTTAAATCAGCCTGGAAGGACAAAGGTACAAAGATACAGTGCAGCTCGAAAGGGATAGTCAAGTATTAATTCATGCAAAGATTCCCCTTACAAATAGTAAAGATTCATTTTTTAAAATATTCTCTAGCTGTGAGTTTCATTATTCTTGAGAATAAAGGGAGAACAGAACTAGTAAAGACAACAGAGGGTAAAGTGGGAGTAACTGGTTGGGCTTACTTCTGAGTAACCTTACAAAGAGGTTAAGCACCCCTAAACATAATCTGACCTGGGATTAAGCCCTGCTCAGGTCAAAATGCAGCAAAGGCTTCAGGTGTAAGTACATACGAATAAACCGTATTTCGAAGACCCTGCGGCCTCTGCTGCGCCTTGATTTCCCCCCTGGAATTTTGCTACTGCTAAACAGAGATGGGGGGGGCAGCATTTAACACCATCTTAACACTTCATGGAGAAATGCCAAACCACACCTTACTTTAGTATCCTCTGAGGGGTACCTTCCATGAGATCCAGCAAAATGTAAACACATCAAGGGAAACAAATCTTTTGGTTTGGCTCCCCGGCTTGGCATTCTCTGATCGCTTATGCCTTACGCAACATCTCCCTTTAAGAGATCAGCGTGAAGTTTCACACAGAGGCTCGGGACCCAAATCTGCAGGGTGGGTTCAAATCCCACCTCATACTCAACAGCTGTTTTTTTTCCAGGGTGGCCGAGTTACGCTCCCTAGAAGAGGGACATCAGAATGTCAGTTGGTGGACATGTTGACGACACAATTCTACATTTCAAGTTGGGACTGGCAGGGGCTGATGGAAATGATGCCGCAAAGTGTCTGAAGGGCACCAGGTCAAGGAACGCTGGTCTACAAGGGAAGGTGCTAAACCCCAAAGAACAGATAGTAACTCTAACTTGTGGCCTTTTTTATTATACACATTCCTCAATAGCAAAAAATGGGGACAATCTGGAGAGAACAGTTTGGCAATCATAAGAGGAGTCTGCTGGATCAGGCCCATGGCCCATCTAGTCCAGCATTCTGTTCCCACAGTGGCCAACCAGATGCCTGTGGGAAACCTGCAAGCAGGATTCGAACACAAGAGCATCCCTCCTCTGACTTCCGGCAACCGATATTCCGAAGCATTGCTGCCTCATTCAGCCTCATTGGATGGCTATGAGTGTTAAGAGAGGAGGAAAACTTCCATTATCGTGTCGTCTTTGAGTCCTAACCGCTGCAACCTTTCCTCACAGGGAAGTTGCCCTTGACCATTCTGGCTACCCTTTTCCACCTGCAAACCCCACAGTCCTTCTCCATGCCCCCTTCTCCTTGGGTTTGTGCCGTGTGGTGGTGTCTGTGGCCGTGCGCATTCCCAGAGCTGTGCCAAAGGTGCTTAAGACGGCTGCTCTGGAGCCAGGCACTTCCCGGCAGCTGCCAGACACACCCCATAAATCCATACCACACATCTTCTAAGTCCACACATCCTCTCCAAACTCTCTTTTTCTACAACCCCCTCAAGCCCCTTCCCCATGTATACACATGCGTAGCTGCTCAGAGCCAAGGCGCTGCCCACAAGGAGACAGCAAGAGGAAAACACCTTGTGGCTCTGGCGTTTATCTTCCTGACACTCTGGATATCCTGTCTGGCATCCTCAGAAACTGGGCCTGTTCGATACGCACAGGGGACTCTCGTGCGCAAACCATCGCCCGCCCCTTGTATATCTGCAGAGACACATGTTGACAGCATGTCTGGATGAGGGCTGAGCCAAAAGTACTTGCTGTGTTCGGCAGAATGTTTTCTGCAGTGGCGATTTCTTTCTTCCCCCCTTTTGGCAGGGGAATGTTCGCTGCTTCGTTTATTTACGTTACTGTATTTACATCCCACCTTTTTTCTCTTGAGGAACTCAAGGTGACGGATGTAGTTCTCCCCGCCGCCTCAGTTAATCCCCACACAACAACCCTGTGAGGCAGGTTATGCTGAGAGGCAGTGAGCAATCGCCAAAGTAACCCAGTGACTTTGTGGGGAAATAGATTCATTCTCAAATTGTTTAAGTTCTATTACAGTTTTAATTCAACTACTATTTTAAAATATGTTTTAGCTTTCTGTATTTGATCTATGTTTTAATTTGTGTAGGTCACCTTTAGTCACAATCTGGGGGAAAGGCAGGATATTATTATTATTATTATTATTATTAGAAGCAAGAGACTGGTTGAAACATTGCTATCCTACCTAAATGGTTAACCTGTACTGTGGGTTTTGGAGGGATGTGTTAACAAGCGCTGTAGGATACGTATGGTTGTGAATGACAGTCATGGTGATGAAGAATTTATTTTTTGGTAGGCTGAGGAAGAAGCTTTAGACCATTTCCTGAATGAATCAACACAGGGAGTCGAGCAGAATGCCTTTTCTCCATGGCTTCAGCCGCATCTATGAGTACCAGGGGTTGGTCAATGAGATTTTGGAATATATGGATCCTCTGGTGCTGGAAAAGATGGACAGGTAACTGGGAAGCTGCTTCTCCATCAATGTAGCTAGGCAATACTGAGCAGGCTTCTTATTCTTATTCAATTCATCCCATTCTTCAGAACTATGAGAACTAGGATCTTTGAGGGTTTTCTACAATCAAGCAGTGCATAAATACCATGAAATGCACAAACAGAATCCTACCTTTCAGGGAAAGGGCCATGGTTAAGGGTAGAACACCTTATGTACATGCAGAAGGCCCCTAATGGCATCTCCAAGTTAGCGCTTATAATATCCCCTGCCTCAAACCCCGCAGAGCCGTTGCTGCTGTCAGTCAGTGCAGATGTACCGAGCCGCAGAATCCCTCCTGCATGGTGGGGCAGACATCACTTTTGAAGGTTGGAGGGGGACCCAGTTAATGCTTCCCATCTTGCATTTATTTTAAAATTACATAAATGATTAGGATAACTATTTATGGAGACTGTATTTTTATATACATTTTTTGTGACACCCCCCCCCCCTTTTTCAACTGCTTCCTTTCTGGTTAGGCTCTAGGCAGCAGTGATGGGGTTCAGATCCACAATACGGAAAGCATTCGCCTTTTTTTGGAAGGAGGTAAGCTTCCTCCGCCCACCTGCCCTACTGAGCCCTGCTGCTTCCTTTTGCAGGGATCCAAATCCAGTGCAAAACAACCAGTGGTCTCAGAGCAGGAATATGAGCCCGGGAGGCAGGCACCCTTTTGCCACCACATGGCATTCTCAGTAAGACGACCTGCCTGGGTGGACTGGAATGATAAAAGTGCAAGCACTGATCAATCCTAATGTATTTTTATGATATATATATATGGTCTATATAGATAATGGATTACTTAGGCAAAAAAGAACATTATTCTTTATTTTAGGTTAACTGAAAGAAATACGAATAATCATGCATTGCCGCAATATATTCTCAACTTCAATACTCCCGACACTATTCTAAACACATTATTAAACCTCTTTGGTATTACTTTAAATAAGGGTTAAGATATAATTGTGATAGAGGGCCATATATTTATTTTCTCTTTCTCGTTTTTTCTCTTTTTTTCTTCCCTAGTTTGGCTTTGATTGTGTTTTATGTCAAATACTTTTAGTAAAAACTGATTAGAAAAAATAGGAAAATGATGACAGTGGTGATGTTGCCAAGGGTCATTTTAAAAAAACAAACCCGTAAACTGGCTGTTTCTGTATTGTCCCTGCCCTTCAGGAGCCAATGTGAAGGCCACAACAAAAGATGGCGACACCATCTTCTCCTCCATCATCTCCCTCCTTTGGAAGACAGTGGGAGGCGACGAAGAGGAGGCTCAGACCGTCAACCCTTTCTGCTTCCAGGTCACTCAGCTGCCGATGATGACCCACGGGGCCAACCCTAGTGAGTGCCCAACCCACGAGTCCCTCAACCTGTTGGCTATTTGCAGTTTAGTAGCGCTGCAGAGAGCTTGCTGGGGAGACCATGCATTAAAAAGGGACTCAAAAATAACTTAACAAAATAACAAAAACAAAAACTCCTTATACACTAAATACATCAACAACAAACCAGACCCAACCACCAACCCATCCCCCAGGGTAATGGGAGAGCTAGGTGCTGCTCCTTATATACTATACCCAATTGCTGACACAGCTTGATTAACACAACTCAGCAGACCTGCTATGTTTCACAGCTGTAAGACTGGGTCTCGTTATTTGCCCTGGCCCTTAAAGACATACACAACTTGTGAAATCATAATGAACCTTCACATTTTAAAGTGACCATTCAACACAACCACGTGCGCCTGAAAAACTTCCAGCTCTGCTTTCCCCTCCTGCGCTTCCTCCTGGAGTTTGGGGCATGCTACAACTGCACCCTCCATGGACCTGCCTGCTGGTCGGGCTTCAGCAGTATCTTCGAGTGGCTGTGTTCCTACCTGTAGTGGTTAGAGGACGACACCTTCTCCGCTGACCTCTTTCAGAAGGCTAAGACGGTGCTGGAGCTCTTGGCCTCAAGCTCCCAGATCATCAAGCTCCCCAGCAACTTTGATATCAACCTCAGCAACTGCCGGTTCCATAGGAAGAGGATCTCGGACCTCTTCACCAGCCTGAAGAAGCTGGAACGCTCCCCTCCTACCTTGAAGCACATGTGCCGGGTTTTCCTGTGGAAGCATCTCAGACCCTGGCCGATCGATGAAAAAGTCAAGGCCCTCCCGCTTCCCACCTTGTTGAAAAAGTATCTCCTCACAGACCTGAGCAGCTCTGCAGAGGTAGCCGTCTGACTTGGGACTTGAATTCTGGTCTCTCCCAGGTGCTAGGCCGACACTCTAACCACTACACTATCCAGATGTTGGGAGATTCAGAAAAGATAAAAGGAATTCTTCACATAAACTGTGGAACTCACTTCCACATGAGGCAGCAACGGGGGTGGGCTTTGAAAGACGATTAGACAAATGGAAGGTAAGGCTATTGATGGCTACGAGCCATGATGGCTACGCTCTTGCCGCCACAGCTGGAGGCAGCAAAGCTTCTGAATACCAGCTGCTGGAAGCTGCAGGAGGGGATACAGCTCTTGTGTTCAAATCCTGCTCGCAGATTTCCCCACAGGCATTTGGGTGATCCAGCAGGTGCGTCTTATGGGCTTATGTTGCTGGACTCCAGATGTCAGGCCCATGAGGCATCATGGCCAAGGATCAGTCATACTGAAAGGGTTGATTGTGGTGTAGTGGTTAGAGTGTCAGACTAGGACCTGGGAGAGACCAGGGTTCAAATCTCCACTTGGCCATGAAGCTCACTGGGTGGCCTTTGGGGGCCAGTCACTGCCTGTCAGCCTCACAGGGTTGTTGCAGGGATTTGAGAAGGAGAACCATATACGCCATCTTGAGCTCCTTGTAGAAAAAGTTGGAATATAAATGCAATAAATAAAATAAAATAAAATGTAGTCTGGCAACATTCAAGGGGATAAAGGGTGCTTGATGGTCACATCTGCCAATCCCTGCATTGCTGGGGGTTGGACTAGATGACCCTTGGTGTCCCTTCCAACTCTACAATTCTAGTAATAATAATAATAATTTATTTCGATATTATAATTTAGATATTATATTTTATGTGAGGGAATCATTGGGAATTTTGGTTATTATGGATATATGTTGTTTCAATAAAGATCTTTGAAAATTTATTATTATTATTATTATTTATACCCCACCCATCTGACTGGGTTGCCTCAGTCACTCTATTCTGGGGCAATTCAATTATCCTGCAAGGCTCCTTAAAGTAATCAGAGTTCTATGATCCAATGGGATGCGTTTTCAGAAAAATATTCCATCCACTTTCTCAGCCAGGGAGGCAGGTGATTCTTGTTGCTTTTGGCTTCCATTGCCCAACACCCATCAAGCACAGTCCTAGTCCGACGTGAACATCAGAGGATGAATCTGACCACAGCCAGATACCTGTCAACAACGGCATCCTAGGGGTGAAGACAGGCGTGCTAAAAATGCATGGTGTTTTTTTTCTGTCCCAGAACAGAACCTTTTGGCATGGTGAGGTCGAAGAGTAAGGCCCGCCAAGGAGTGTTTATTTTCCAGTGCCCAGGACAGGGATGGAAGAGAAAGTTGATTCAGTACACATTTAAAGCTGAATCTATCCTATTCACACTTTCCGAAGCATTATCAGGACCAAAACAAAGGCATCCTTCGAAATGTGCACTTCTCCAAATTTTGCAATGCAGGTATGAGTGAAAACAACACAGAGAAATGTATTGTATTTGGGGAAATTGCATACCAAAAATGTATTTATTTGGAGAAACTTGCAATAAAATACTGGCCAATTTTCATGAGGATTTTTAATTATTTCAAAAGCCCTACAAATTGCTGCAAATTGCAACAGAAGCCCAAGGAGCAGCAAAATACCTGGACATCCCAGAATTACAGAAGCCACCCTGGCTTCCGACTGGATCCTGGGATGTCTTGTTTTGGCTCCGGCAAGAGCACAAAAGATGCCTGTTTTGGGGACTGTGTTCTCATGCAAGTCACGTGTGGCCTTGAAATAAAAAGGTAAAGGGAACCCTGACCATTAGGTCCAGTCGTGACCGACTCTGGGGTTGCGGCACTCATCTCGCTTTACTGGCCGAGGGAGCCAGCGTACAGCTTCTGGGTCATGTGGCCAGCATGACTAAGCTGCTTCTGGCAAACCAGAGCTGCGAATGGAAACGCCGTTTACCTTCCCGCTGGAGCAGTACCTATTTATCTACTTGCACTTTGACGGGCTTTCGAACTGCTGGGTTGGCAGGAGCAGGGACCGAGCAACGGGAGCTCACCCCGTTGCAGGGATTCGAACCACTGACCTTCTGATCAGCAAGTCCTAGGCTCTGTGGTTTAACTCACAGCACCACCCCCGTCCCTGGCCTTGAAATACACGTGTCCCAATTTTCCTCTGCAGCATGTTGGAGGGTATGCAGCCGCTGAGCAAACCCTGAGGACGTGGAGATGAAAATATCCTCATTTCCACTCTCTCCAGCTCCTCAGCCCAGTCCCACATCTCATCCTGGATCCAGCACAGAGCAAGCAGGTCTCTGTGCCTCCAGCTTCCAGGTCAGGTCACACACCCCAAACTGGCTCCTCCTAGTGGAGGAGAGACCTGCAGGGCCCATCACTTAGCGGTAGCTCTTGTGATCTAGCTCATACTTTAGAGATGCTGATGAGGACATTTAAGTGGCCAGCTAAGGTCATTTGTCTTGCAAATAAACTTGTCTGATCAGTTCGGCAGAATCTTTCATTCGATTCTAACCCAGTGTTTCCCAACATTTGGTCTCCAGGCGTTTTCAGACTACAATTCCCATCATCCATGACCTAGCTGGGGGTGATGGGAGTTGTAGTCCAAAAACAGCTGGAGACCACAGCTGGGAAACACTGTTCTAACCCATCGCTGGGTACAGGACTCCCAAGAACTAGAAGAGTCTCGGGGCATTGTCCAGACTTACCCCTCCTGCAAAAAACCAAAAAAACCACAAATCCTACAATGCCCTATTCATAATTTTACAAACCTCTGGGTTAGCTTTCTACAAGGTGTGGAAGTCAACGCCCTTAGCAAAGAGCGGAAACTGAGAAATGGGTTAGTCAGTTCATCAGCCACGAGCCGCTTGGGCCCCTCTAATTGTCAAGGAAAGGGTGGTTCCTTCCATCCATATGCAATTCTCTCCCTGCTACACCCCCACCATCTTCTTAATTCCCTTTTGTCTCCTTCCCTCCGAATAATCATGCCCAAGGCGCCTGCCAAAAACCATCGAATGAAACAATGATCTGTGGCCAGATGGTTGGGGAACCACAAGCCATCATGTGAGACCACAAACCCAGGGCTGAAGAAAAAGCCCGATGCAACGTGATCCGTGGACCGCGAGGCGTTTGGCTGGCCTGCGCAAGATCCGGGGCTTGGGAAGAGGCCAGGAACGGGATGCAAAAAGCAAGCCACAGTCTCACCGCCTGCCACAAAACGTGAGCTTCGGCGAAGGAGATTTTGCTGGTTTCAGGGTCTCAGGTGGCGGGGCTGCCTTTAAATTTCCAAGGGCAGTTTTCCATTCTTCATGAAGTCCAGATCAAGCACAATTCCTTGTGGGATTGCTAATTCGCCCTCACTGCTGGGCAGGGGGGCGGCATGACTCCAGCATCAATATAAGAAGGGAAAGCCGGGGGGGGGTGGCTGTCCCATAATAGCACCTTCTGTCTCGGTGGTCCCTCTCCGTCATTTATTTATTTCCTAAAATTTATACACCTCTTGGTTGTAAAATAAATAAATAAACCAAACCCTGACACACCTCATAGCGGTTTACAAAAGAGAATAAAATTATCAACAAGAGCAATTAACTGTCATAATTTAAGGCCTTTGAAGAGTTAAAATAACAAAGACTAAAAACAGAATTAAAGCTCACATCAACTTTCCGAACATCAGGGCAGCCCCGCCTAAAGAAAAACACTTTTAGCAAGTGCTGCAAAGTGTACAGGGACTGATATCACTAGACAGGGAGTTCCAAAGTGTAACTATTGTGTTCTTACAAATGTAGAATGGGCTATTATGTGGCACTTGTAACAACGCCAGTCCAATGGGCATATATGGGGAAGGCCAGCTTGCAGGCAAACTGGTTCAGTATCATTCATACCATGACAGTATCATTCAGTACCATTCATACCATGACAGTACCAGTTCCGCTCACACGCAAAGTTTCATTCCGTCCTTCCTTTCCTTTTATTCTATCAGACGGAACCTCGTCCCCAGAACCTCATGTGCTGACCCTCTTTAAACTCCAGAGCAGTTTAGATATTCGTAAACATTCTGCAACCACAGCTGCTGACCCCATGGAGGACTCCTTTCAATAAACCAAGCCAGTGTTCCTCTGGCTAGAGAGTTAACTAGGTTTCAATAAATAGCTAGCCGCAGGCTGTGTTTACTAACTTCAGTGTGTGTGTGTGTGTGTGTGTGTGTGTGTGTGTGTGTCCGTCCCCACACCTTTTCCTTCCTTTTTGCCAAGTTGGTCTGCATTCATTCTTTCGTCGGGGTAGACAGGCAAAGAATTTCCAGCCTGCCGCCCCTGCAAATTTGCAGCGATTTTGATACCTCATTCATCTCTCGGCAATCTCGGAACAAGCCCTAACAGATCATTCAAAGTTAGCTTTGACTTCGCAAATGAAAATAGCTATGTACTTTTATGACTGGCCAGGTAGCGGGAGAGAGGGGAACAGCGGCTCAAAGCTCTGTGGGAGAAATCAGAGTCTCTCTCCAGGATTTGGGGAAGTTCTGGGATGTGGTGGGGAGATGAGAGGAGGTGGGAAAGGGGCCAGAATTGGTCGTAGATGGATGGTGCTTGTCTGCAGCTCAGCAGTTTTGAGTGGGGGGGGGAAACAACTCTGTAGCCCCACCCTGAAGCACAGGCCCTGAACACAACCATCTGGCTGCCTCACCCAAGTGCACCAGACAGCCAGTCCCTCCTTGCAAATGGGGCCGATTTGTCTCGTGCCTGTGTGTTCCCATTTCCAGCACCCATGCGGTGTTTTGGGCCTCAACGCCTCCAGATGTGTCTGAGAGCTTTAAAAAAAAGCCAGCTGTGTCTCCCTGGGATACTCCGCTGGACGGCTGAGAGGTCAGGAAGAGGCAGAGAGCTGATCTCCATCTTTGGGGTTGGTCTAACGATTTAATAGGATAGCTAAGTGGACGGTGCATTTCCAGAGATAGTGTAAGTCTGGATTAGGGCAATGTGCTCTACATTCCCTTACGCTTGATCCAGAAGCTGCAG